AGTTCAGCCCACCAAGGGGGCGGGGCTGGCTGGCATGTGGTGCTGGGGGATTGAACCGTGGTCCCTGTGCTTTGCTTAGCTTAGTTTGTTCTAAGTAGGTGCTTTAGACCACTGAGCCATCTCACCAGCCCCAATTTCAATTATCTTAAATAATTGAAATTATGTAATTACATTCCTCACACCAATTTTTTTCTGACAAAAATGAGTTATAATTGTATACACACCCTTTTTGTTATCTTTTTCTAATTCATTTTTATCACCATGTCAATAAATGCGTTGTATTTGTTGATGTTAGAGGTTGAACGCAGAGCCTTATACATGCCAAGTACACACTCTTCCAATGAGCTTTGCTAATTTTTAATGACCACATAGTATTCTGTTATGTGACTATGCAATAATTTATTTAATCAGTCCATTACAGATAAACTTATAGATTGCTTCCAGTTTTTGGTAATAAACAGTATTACTTTACCATTTTATTTATGTAGAATATATAATGGTATGTTTATTAGACTAAATGATAAAATGAGTTTTCTGGATTGAACTGTACACACTTCAAAGGTTTGGTTTTGTTTTGTTTTTTGGTACCAGGGATCAAATTTGGGACTTTGTGCTTGCCAGACAGGTGCTTATGCCTTTGAGCTATCTCCCTGGCCTTTTAAGGGCTTTTGATTCAAGAAAGCATCTTTTAAAAAATTTGCTTAGACTTTGTGGCTCTGGAGATTGAACCCAGGGTCTCACACATGCTAGGTGAGTGTTTTGCCATTGAGCTATATCTCTGCCCTTTAGCCATTTTCAAACTGCTAAGAACAGATACTAGATTGACTTTTTTTTGGCAGAACCAGGGATTGAATTTAGGCTCTTATACTTGCCAGGCAAGCGCTTATTATTTCCTTGGCCCCTAGATTGACTTTTACCGAAAGACCAAGAAACCATAAGTCCACTAGTCTTTTTTTTTTAATCATTATTTTTTGATACAGGGTTTCACTACACAGTTTATAAGGAAAATGTTTTTTTCCTTATACTGTCTTCTATTCTGTGTTCTATCATTTTTATTTTTGCTCATCTGATTGCCAGGTATTGTTTATATTTTTTATTAGTAGTAAAGTTAAATATCTTCACAGATTTATAGGCTATTTGAAGCTTTTGTAAAATTATGTTCTCTGCTTATTTTCCTATTAAAATGTTCTGATGCTTTTATTTTTAAACTCATTTTATGTATATTATTATATACAAATACACTTCTACTTTAAAATTTTTCAGGGCTGGGGAGATGGCTCAGTGGAATAAGCATTTGCCTGGCAAGCGCAA